GTGCTCTTCCGATCTCCCCAAAACCCCAAAACCCCACTAGCTGTAATAATCAATGACTGCTAAAATATTATAAAGTTTTGTAAAATGAAATATTTCAGTAAACTAAGCACATAGTATTCTAGATTGCTATCTCCTTTGCCTGCCAAAGCTAATCTACAGAGATTAATTAAACAGAGATAATTTTCAACCATAAATGACTTGAACTAAGAGTACCAAGTTGATAGTAACAGCATTATACCAAGATAAAAATGTAAGCTAATTTACATAAGCATTGCTAATTGGATTAAATATAGCCGAAATATAAAAATAGGGAATCGATGACTCAGGCTGGATATCAAAGCTTAAGAATAGGAAGATAGTTGCCATCAAGGGTGCCGATTCTACTAAGTTTTTGCAAGGCCTTATCTCTTAGGATATGAGCTTGTTTGAGAAGGATGGTTCTGATAGAGCTTCAATCTACACAAGCTTCTTGAACGTGAAAGGCAAAGTGCTATTAGATGGTTTTCTGGCTAAGCCACTCCTTGCTAACCAAGTTTAAGATGATACAGAGTACTGGCTGGATGTGGCTGACTATGATGTAGATGACCTGTAGAAGCATTTGAAGAAATATGCCATAAGAAAGAAGATTAAAGTTGAAGACATATCACATATAATATCAGCTTATGCGATTTAGACTCTCCAAGGCGTTGATTGCAAAGAGGGGCATTTCTTTAGGCCACTTTAGGACACCGCTACTATGTTTGAAAGTGAAGAGTTTCCAGGCCAATTTGAAACTGATATAGCTTGCTTTACTGATCCAAGAACGAATTACAATGGAGTGAGGATACTTTGTGCGGAGGGTAGCTTTGAGTATGACGACCCAGACATTGCAGTATATGAAAATGATGAGGAATATAAATTTACTAGAATGACCTTAGGACTCGTTGAAGGCAGCAAAGAGTGCTCCAATCAGTTCCCTCTGCACTTGAACTTTTAGCAACTAAATGGAGTCTCAACAACTAAAGGATGCTATGTTGGCTAAGAAATAGTGTAAAGAACTACTCATATGGGTACTTTAAGGAAGTAGGCATTGCCTTTTATGTTGCAGACCAATGACAGGTTTGTTGTCAACCAGAACATGTTCGCACCTCTGAGAAATAAAGATGATTAGTTTACAGAGGATTTAACTGGTTTAGAGATTAAAGATGAAAAGGGAGGAAAGATCGGTAAAATTCTTGCATCTTAATATAATGCTGGAGTAGCTATGATTGATCTCCTAAAGCTATACAACTAAAAATAAAATGCTAAATTCTTCCTGAATGACAGGAGAGTCATGCTCTGGCAGCCAACTTGGCTTAAACTCTATGACATTGAGTAAGAAATTGCAGAACAAGACCCTAATGACCCAAATGCCAAGGAGGACCAGGAAATGGTTAAAGACTTTGAAAACTAGATGAAGTCTGTTCAGCAAGGCAATGTCACCCCTGATATGAAAATATCTGGAAAAAAATGAAGTTTATCACGATTCTTGAATAAAATATCTTAATTTCATAAATTCATATTAATCTACTAAACACGGGGTTTTGGGGTTTTGGGGTTTTGGGG